TTCAAATTCTATCTTTAACGTACATTTTATTTCATTTAATTTCTCTAAACTTTCAGAAGCTAATATTATATCGTGTATATAAATAATCATTACAACCCTTTTTTCATTTTTCCCAAAAACATATACACAGGGATCTGCTTCTGTGCTATAGGCTCCTTTCTTTAGGACACAATTATTTAACTTTCTTTAGGACACAATTATTTAATTTAACACTTTTTGTGCCATGTTTTAGTGCCATGCTTTAGGACACAATTATTTAATTAAACACTTTTTGTGCCATGTTCAGATTGTTTCAGTCCATATAACGGTTTTATCAACTTACAAACCTTTTCTTCTTCTCCGGATTTCACAAGTAATTCGGGCTGTTCCATGTATACTTCGTCGGCTAGATCTGCTTGAACATATGTTGATACGACATCCATGCGATGTACGTGCATTTCACAATTCTTATTAATTCATACCGTGCAACAAGGACGAAAACTTCTTCATAGTCTATATTCCTTTATATTGTGTATGCCCTCTTGCGACCAATCTTGCTTTGTATTCATTTATGGAACCGTTTTCGTCGTGTTTTATTTTGAACACCCATCAATTAGTGAGAATTTTCTTGTCTTTGAGTCTCGGAACGAGTATCCACGTATTATTTCTGCACAATGTTTCATATTCAACATTCATTGCATCTAGTCATAAATCAGAATCTTTTCTTTCCATTGTTTCATTTACGTTATTTGGACACGTTTCTTTTGATTGGAAAAGTTTTCTTGGCCTACCTCTCTTTCTGGTTCTTAATATTTTTGGCCTTCCACATCCGCGTTGTAAACCTTTATTTTTGAGTACCGGTGTTTCGTCTATCTCTTCGGATTTCGCTTCTTCTTCTTCTGTATCTTGATAGTTCCTTTCTTTTTCTTCTATATTTTCTTCTTTTGTGTCTTCTTCTGTAGACTTTATTTTATCATTTTTATTGAATATTGGTAATGGAAATGACAATTCATCTGTAATTCTCTCTGAATCTAACGTTTCTATAAATCTTACATTGCGTGCCTTGATTACCGTTTTTGTATTCGATCTCTACAGTCGATATGCCTTAAATACGTTATCATATGCCACCAAGACGTATTCTAAACCTACATATAATTTTTGATCTGACCATGCTTCAAAGAGTGTTTTGTCATTCAGTATTTTCGTTGGGCATCCATTTCTAATGTACGTTGCGGTATTGATAGCCTCTGCCCATAATGATTGAGGAAAGCTTGAATCAAATTTCTTGTCATCTCGACCAGAGTGCGATTTGCGCGTTCTGCAACTCCGTTCTACTGTGGGGTATACTCTATGCTCAATTGACGTTTTATTCTTTCATTTTCTAAGAATTCCGTGAATTTTTTTGATAAATATTCCTTTCCGTTGTCTGTTCGTAGACATTTTCTCACACAGCCTGTTTCTTTTTCAACGCGTCGTTTGTGCTTTTTAAAGGCTTCAAAGACTTCCGATTTCTTTCGCAACATTACAGTTTCCGTGTATCTAGTGCTATCATCGATAAATGCAACGAAATACCTCGCACCTCCTAACGATTCTGTTCTCATTAGACCACAAATATCCAAATGTATCAAAGACAATTTTTCAGTTTTCTTTCTCGATACTTCTTTATATGGTTGTTGGCAAATTGTTGCTTTATTGTATATCTTACACTCTATGTTAGATATAGTCGAACGTAAATACTGCTGACCATTTCACACGAGTATAGTTTCTTTAAATCAGTTATGTTTAAGTGACCTAAACGCTGATGCCACCTCATAGTATTATCATCTTCACGGTTGATTGAACATATTACGCGACGTTTATTTTGATTTATTTTGTATAATTGTCCATATTTTATTGCTGTCAATATAACTGAATCGTCGTTTCACTACCGCATTGTTTCGACCGAAGTTTACTTGATAGCTTTTATTCGTTATAGCGAAAACGGACAATAAATTGTTTCTTAATTTTGGCACGTAAATAGCGTCTTTCACATCAATTGTTGCGGATCTATTTTTACTTACACAGACATTTAA